ATATATATATATATATTTTTTTAAAAAACACTACTCAATCATTGCTTTAAGTATAATATTAGTGCATGGGGAGCAAAGATAATTGATGCAGACCTCTACTTTCAGAGAGGTTAAACTATTTGAAACAGATTATTCCAGTCAGTACAAAACATTCAAAATATGAAAACCAAATAAGAGACTCTAGAAAAGCCATTTTGTAACTTTTGAAACATGAGTGTAATTTAAAACTTATCTCTTTCCAAAAATTTGTAATAGACATTTGACAATCCTTGAGGAAAAATTAATTTGAGTTAGCAGCCATCCAGAGGTTTGATAAATATTCACTGGCTCTAGAGGTGTGTCAAAGAAGGAGACTACTTTTATCAAGCCAGTGTCTGCAGAACAAGAAGTGTTTGGGCCTGGGACAGACAGTAACTAAGAAAGGGAAATGCACTTTACCAGTTTGATATCCTTCTTGGCCCGATGAGAATCAGCCTTGGCCTGGTCATACGTTAGTGCCTTACTTCGTGCACACCACAAACTCAGATTGTGTAAAACCTAAAATAATCACAAATAAAACATCAAAATGAGGAAATACTGCTGCTCGCCTCCCACAAGGTGGAAGGCATATTCTAAAGAATCAACAACTGTCACATAACAGTAACTTACCTGTCTAATATCTTGATTGGCTCCCAAGATTATTTCATTCATAGCTGGAGGAGGAATCTTTAAACCCTCCTTAAATGCAATAGACATCATAGCACCCTGAAATTAATAAGGGGATATCTTTAGTGACTTCTTAAAAACTCAAATAATCTAACATTTAAAAAATATTTGAGGTATTTTTTAAAACTTATCTTTAAATAAATAGGATAGTGTGATTTTTTTAAAAACTTTTTTTCAATTATCATACCTTAATCTGTTCAACTCGAGGTCTTGGAAAACGAAGATCAAAACAATAATGAACCAAAGAGCGAATCCTGGGATGATTTCTATCATTGCACATACAAATAATGGGAATTTTAGTATGTTTTATCAGGCCAATTAATTCCTAAAAGGCAAATTTATAACACAAAAATAATTATTTAAAAAATAAAAGACACCTCACAATGTATTTTTAGGTTTTAAAAACCTCAACAATGTGACTTAATTGCCATAAATATTAGTGTGTGAAAATTAAATAATTTTTAAAAAGTATCAACAGTAAAACTGGTGCCAGGCGTGGTGGTGCACACCTGTAATTCTAGCATGTGGAAAGCCGAGGCAGGAGGATTGTCATGAGTTCAAGACCAGTCTGAACTACACAGCAAGACCCTGTCTCCAAAAAAAAAAAAAAAACCCAAACAGAGTAACACGTAAAACAAGAAACACACGAGTACACGACTCCTTACCTGAATCCCTCCCCTGTCCTCAGTGCCCGCCATGCCGTCCACTTCATCCATGATGAGAGCATGCTTTGCACTTACTGAAGCCTCTGCTCCACCTGCTCCACCTGACCCAGCAGGAGAAGAAACAGGACAGGACAAAACCAAAATGACACTGTTCAAAATGCTACTTTATGGAAAAATCGTAACACATTTTCAACTTCAAAAGCTGTAAGAGTAAGTAGCAAAAAATTCTCCCACCCCTTCTGTATGCCAAGTTTCCCTTCGCCGAGTTTCCCTTCCCAGAGTTTCTTGTATGTCCTTTGAAAGACCTCAAAGTATGTCTTGCATGTCCTCTATACACATTAAAAACACATGTGCATACAAATACATACCTTGATTTTGTCACTTAATATATTTTGGTGATTTGTTCCTTACCTGTAACACTTCATTTACAATGCAATTTAATATTCCACTTTATATATGTATCATAATTTAATCACTGTATATGCATGATATATTTAGATGCTTCCAAGCTTTTGCTGCGATAAATATCCTATGTGTATGTGTCATTTTGCACACATGTACATATATAATTAACTTTGAGAAACACTGCCAGACTACTTTCCAGAGTTGTACCAATTTACATTCCTGCTAACCATATATGAAACTTAACATTTCCTGAGCCACAGTGATTTTCTACTATTGAAAGCACCAAGAATTCAGGTAACCAAACAATATACCATAGGCGTTTTTTTGGGGGGAGGGGGTTGTTTTGTTTTGTTTTTTGCGGTACCGGGGATTGAACTCAGGACCTTGTGCTTGTGAAGTAGGCACAGTGCCACTGAGCTAAATTTCCAGCCCTACCATAGGCTTTAAACAGTCCATAATTTGAGCATCTTCATTTCCCCCATAAACTTTTGTTTTGTGGACCACCAACTACAACCTGAAACAGTAAATGTCTCTTCACCTCTACTATACTTTTGCCTGAGATGCCATCTTCTATCTCCAAGTGGACGCTCTCTCAATTTCACTGCTTTTCAAACAAATATTACCCTCTTATAAGTAGCTTGCCTAAGGGCCCAAATACAACTTCCTCCTCATGCGCACACCGCATTACCTCACTCATCACACAGCACTATATTTATCTTCCTTCTTTACACTTGTGAACCCCTAACATCTTATGCAAAAGGCAAAAATATGTGTATGTACACCTTTTTATCACATTCTCAGAAAGCTTTAAGCCTAAAAATGGTCTGAGTTATGTCAGAGGGCTTTCTTATTTTTTTTTTTTTTTTTGTACCGGGGATCGAACTCGGGTCCTTGCTCTTGCAAGGCAGGCGGCGGAACCACTGAGTTAAATCCCCGGCCCTACTTTCTTATTTTCTTGACAGCTGCATTTAGCTTACTACTATGTGCTTATCACATAGTAGTATTCAATACTGGTTACAGAACATTGAAATGAACATATCAAAACAACAGCAATTCAAAAAGCCACATACTTGAATAAAAGCCTTTGATGCTTGTATTATTCAGAGATTCAGCAACAATCGCCTTCAAACTGTTCTTACTCCGTGTGTCACTTGCATTTAGTTCCACATAGCTATATCCCAATTCCTAATCAAAATATTGGAAAAATATATATATA